TGTGAATTTGCAGTCAAGACTCAAAAACTACAATTTATGGTTAGTCTAGTAAGTAAGTGGTATAGCAACATAGAAACCTAAAATGAAGAACACATACTTGTGCATGTTAATTCAGAGAATCTTGTGTTATGTCAATCAAAAAAGATCTAAAGCAGAAAACTGACGTAGCAAGTAGAGCTGAATTGATTATCTGAACTACTAATAAGGCATATACCAGACAGATTTAACAGCATATACAATAAAAGGTTATTTTTATCGATGAAATCAACAGATAAATCACGGGTATGCAGTGTTTTATCATTACAAGATCCAAATAATGCAGTGTCAAGATATGGTAAAGTAAGTAAATCACCTTTCATCAACTGTAGATCTACCATTTTATCAGAAGAATTTGTTGCACTGGCTGAACTAACCGGATTTGAAGAGCTTGTGTAACATAGTGTATTTCTTCAATTTTGCCACATGATATCCCTGATATTGACAGTTCTGGCATCAATTCTACACCACCATGTCTGCAAATTTGAGAGGGCAGAAGCGGTAATAACACATCATGATGCTTCATGGAGAATGCCTACAAAAACAAATAAAGATGTTTTGGCACATTGTAACTGACAGAAAATTTTACAACATCAGGAATTACCATAGAGCTTCAGAATTCCGGTACAGTATTCTAGTTAATTCATTAGCCAAGACAAATCTATTCATTACCAGTTGACTTTGTATAAATAATGATGGTCCCTGGTATATACACACAGCAGAATGCCTTCTGACACTGGTCAATTCTCAATGACTACAAGGAGATTTCCAAAATGGGCATCATTGAAGTAACACTGTGAAAAAATTTTGTGCCTCCTGCAACCATTTTGTGTGGAAATGTGAACCAAGATGGGCAAAGCAGAAGGTAACAATAATAACCCCTACGTGCTTTGAAAACATAAAACCACAAAGTACATCACAATGTCTTTTTTTTTTTTTCTTTTTTCTTTTTTCTTTTTTCTTTTTTCTTTTTTCTTTTTTCTTTTTTCTATCAGCATGTCACAAATACAAATAACATAAAATGTCCTAAGTAGTATCTTAACTAATAAAAATTTAAGATGAGTGACGAGAAATTTAGAAAAGAGGAGGCATATCTTTATTGTATCCCATATATATACCAAAAGAACAAATTAACATAAAGTTTCAAAACTTTCTAGTCCTAAATATGCCAAACATGGAATTATCAACCAATAACCTATATAACCACCTATCATCAAGCTTGCTATAGATGTATTAGAGTGCCCATAATGGTAGAAGGAAAAAAACAAAACATAATGGCCTTTTTATTCCAAAGGGTAAATCAATATGTCTTCTCTGTCCATACTTCTACTAATTTATATTTTTAAAAGTGACTCATCTGAATCTGATATTATCCTTAATAGGTAGGTCATCAGAATATGTTGATATGACATGGGAAGTGTGGACCGATTCAACTTTTAGAAATGGCACAGGTGTGAAGTTGCACGGTACATAAAGCTAGAGACAACAGGAAGAAGCTGGGATATTTCACACTTCCACATTCTACATACTGTTGAGGATTCTTCACAAACACATCATCTACATGGATGCCATCAAAAAAGAGATGCAAAACCATGATGGGTTCTGTTGCAGAAATTCCTCAAGCATTAATGTAGATATTGACCCTCTCAACTTCCATTCCACTACACAAAAATACCCTTCCTGGGTCACATTTAACTCTTTCTTCCATGTCAGTGAAGCCAAATGGAACAGAAAAATGCCGACAGTTTAGGTTGTCATTGATTCTATCAAGCCATTGAGGCCAAAGGGATAAATTTTGTCTCTTCCCCTCACGCCTCTGCTGCGTGCGCTCTGTTTTCCCAGCAACCAATCAGAAACCGACAGCCACCCAATGATCAAAGGGCTCAAGGGTTATATGCTTGGGCCTCTGTTGATTGGACCGACGAAATGAAAGGGGAACATCGTTTGAAAGCAGGCCCAATTAGCTAGACCTAGTACAGCATTATATAATGACACTTGCCCAACCCAACCCCACCCC